CTAGACTTAGCAGCAAAAACAGAAGGATTTAATTTATTTGAGGCAACTGAGTCTTGGTAGTGAGGCTTTTCATCTTGATTTGGAAATTCAAATTGATATAGTCCGTCTTTAAGCTTCCCTTCAAGCAGCACCTTCTTCGATAGTTTGCCCTTAACAATACAAAAACCAGCATGAAATTCCCTGAAGACAGCATTATCAACAGTTAATTGTGAAACACTTATCAAGTTTTTCTTGATTGAAGGTACTAGCAGAACATTTTTTAGAGCTAGTGACTTGCTGTCTAATGTGCTTAAGTGATTTGTGCCAATGCGAGAAATATAAAGTTTATTACCATTTCCAACAATGAGTCTCTCCTTACCACCATATTCTTGTGAATCCATCAGATTTTCCTTTCCACCAGTAACATAATAGCTTGCTCCAGAGTCTGCAAACCAAGCAGGGTCTGCAATAGTGTTTGATATAGCCACAAATGTTGCTGGTACTGATGAGTTAGTCTGATAGTGCATCTCAGGTTTAGCCCCCATATATCTGTCATCATAGCGATTGAAACATTTATCAGCTAGATGATTGTTTATTTTACAAATTTGACGAGGTCCCTTGCTACCAGTTAATCATGTTATTGTTCTCCCTTTTGTTTCTACCACCTCTGTTACTATAGCCTCTGCCACTGGAATTGAACATTCCTTCTCTATTTGATCTGTGAACAAAATTTGCAGATGTCTGGCTCAAGTTTACAGAAGCAAAACTATTTTTCACAGCATTAAGGTGTTCAATCCTACTTTCATAAGTCATTAGGATTGATTGTAACTCATGCCAAGAGATGGAATCTCTACAATTGATTTGAACTACAATAAGAGGGTACCCCTCATCCAAACCAGCCAATACTTGTGTGATTAAATCACCTTGAGGCACTGTCTTACCAGTAATCTCCAGATTGTCTGCCAATTGCTTTATGGTGTTGAGATACTGATCAATTGTCATTGATCCTTTTCTGGTCCTTTGAAGCTCACTAACAAGGAAAATTATCCTTGATTTGTTCAAGACTCCAAAACTTTCCTGGACTGCATTCTAGAGTTCACAAGAGCTCGATGATCCCATTACTCTCATAGCTATTTCTGGTGTCATTGAGGAGTATAACCAGCCCATTAATAGCTATTCAGTGGACATCCACTTTATGTATTCAGTGTTATGAACCATTTCCACAGTTGTACCAGCAGATCCAGTGGTCTCAGTAACTATGAACTCAGGTGGACATGCCTTTGCTCCCATGATGAAGCCTTCAAGGTTGTGTCCTCTGATGATTGGTATGACCATATTTTTCCAGAGAAAAAAGTTGTTTCTATTAAGTTTTACTTGAACAACTTGAGAGAGATTGATCCCAAGTGATGGTTGCTGAGTACCTCCTACCATTGAAGGCATCAGTGCACTTGAGATGGGCTGAGCTGATTGAGTGTTCTGATTTGATTCGTTATTAGTCATAGCTCTGATACCAAGTTTAAAAAGTTGATAAAGAGAAGTGAAGATGATAACTATGGATAATTGTATTGATTCACTTAATATCAATTGTACATGATACAAATATATATAATATAACTTGGAGTAGTGAACAAGCGAAATATTAACAAACCATGTGATACAAAAAGAATAAAAGAATATGTTGCAACAAAATAAATGTGGTCCCAGTAGGTGCACTTTAATGAGCTCAATAACCAGCCAATGTAGTGCAATGATATATATTTTAACAAGACCAAGGGATGTATATTTAAGTATATGTTATAAATTAGAGAGAAAAAAGTGAACCAAAAAGAGAAGCCAAAAAAATTATGTGTTTTATTGAGAACCAAGCCCCATATTTTATAGGGAACGGTTAATGATAAAATTATAATAATTTCTAGAATTGTAGGGGTACAATTGTCATTTACTAATAGATTTAGCATTTACAACACTGTTTCTTGAATGACACACTGCAAAATATCTGCCCGTTAAAATCTTGTCAAGCAAACCCATAGGTCAAAACTTGAGTTAAGGAAAAATAGTACAACTGGTCCCTCTAATTTCAATTCTTATATCAAGCGAGTCATGTTTAGTATATCAGTGTCTTCAATATTAATATCTTATATGTCAATGCCTTCAAGATTAATGTCTTGTTTGTTAATGTTTTCAAGAAAATTTAGTGGGACAAAACTTGATGATTCCAAAAATAGCTCTTGTTGATTTCTTCAGGAGTTTTATATATATCAAATTATTATTTTGAGAGTAAATATCTTATATGTTATGGACATTCATTACATAAAAAATATGCCCCATAAAAGCCTTGTTAGGAAAAATTTTGTGGGAAAAATCCTAATGAAAGAAAAAAAGTACATTTATTTTTTTTGAATACGTTACAAAAGTTATCAATAGTTAAAAATATTGCCAAGAAATTCCAATGGGATAAAATCTTGGTCAAAGAAAAAAGAGTACAACGCGTATTTACTCCTTCACGTTATAATATCACTTGAATTATACTTCAAACATATTAAATCCTTATAAAATAGTATTAAATTTATATAAGATAAGTTGACTATAATCATATTTATTATATTTATATCAAAATGCATGCATCGTTTGCTAACAAGGTAGAGAATTGTGATTATATCCATCAAATGATAACTTATCTATTTATACAAGTTTTCGCGAAATTCATTATGTAAAAAGTCTTACATTTCATATTACGACTTTACTTTTTCCATTTTCATTCCGCATAAGTATACACATTTAGGCATTCCGACTAAAAATCTAGAAATTTCAGGTTTCTCTAATAAGTTTAATTTTACTAGGATCTTATGTAGAAACTTCAGGCTTCACTAGTAAATTCAATTTTAGTATGATCGTATCATTTTATTTGATCAATCAGTACTTCGATCGTTATGTTCTGACAAATTTATTTCGATTCCTCACCATTCATAATAAGATGAAATACATAATGTTCAAAAGTATTATTGACAACTTTTTTCTTTTCGATTCCATTTCTATTTCTATAATAGCACAACTTATTGAGATATCTCAATATTCAATATATCGGGTACTTAAGCCTCTTATGAGATTTTATAATATGTTATGTCTAAAAATTCATAGAAACTTATGCCTCGTTGATGTGGCCATCTTTACTAATTGCTATATTTTCGTTTGGAGATTTTTATATTAAAATCGAATACATATGCTTCAGCCGTGCCCCATATATATATATATATATATATATATATAAAAGCCAATTATAAAAGGAAGAACTTGATGTGGCATGATGCATAATAGTATTCTCTAAACCGAAATGGGAAATACTTCATTCTCAATTAAATTAATTGGGGGAGTTTAACAAGCAATAGTGTTAAACCATTTATCTACATTTCAACTAAAAATTATGATGATCATTATTATTAGCAAGACACACCGTCTTAATTGTAAAATTTGAAAATTATGGTCATAATTTAAACAGTAATTTCACAAGCTTCACGTTGTGAACACCATGCAATCATTTAATACTTGTATCAATTCTATTAGATATAAATAATATCTAGATGGTGAACAAGAAGGATGACGAGGCATCATTTATCTCTTTGATTAATTTTCAAAAATATAGAAAATTCAGTTCCTATTTTAACTAATGATGGTTAATGAAAAATTTTCATGAAAGAGAACTAACATTATATAGGATTTCATTCGATTGAAGAATCATTTGGTCTTCATTGAATATCCAAGTGAATTTTTAAATTTTGCATCATTATTGATCCAACGATGATCTAACAAATCATGCTCTACAATAAAGTCAAATTGAATTTCTGATTCAATATAAAATATAATTTAATTATTTAATTTTAAAAAATATGATTAGACATTATATAATCATATATCATTCAAGTAGTCAAATTAATCAATATTCTAATGACATTATTATTATTATTTTTTTAATTTCGCTAAAAATCTTCAATCTGTCACACTTTTTTAATTGCAAAAGTTCCATGGAGATAGGATTTTGAAATATTTAAATTTGTTGTATATTAACGATATTCTCAATTGACAAATAATCTTGACTATTAATCGAAGCTAATCTAATGATTTAAATAGATTTTAGTTAAACCTTTAAAAATCGTTATCGTCACTCCCAAACACACCAATTACCTTTAATAATACATAAATTTTTGTACACATTAGTCCCTCATTAGCGTGTTACTTACTCCTCCTCTCAATCCCCCATCTCCAAAGCAAGAACAGAAACAGCCATCGGCAGCCTATCTGATTCTCAAACCACCATCACTGTTTGGATTTCTCACAAAAAGATTTATCTTTCAATATCCACGATCCAGTTCTTTAAGAGCCAGCAAGAAACTAGGCTAAATGGAGAAGACGTTCTTTAAGCGGCTATCCCAATTTGCTACAATTTTATCATCATCTCCAAATTTTGTAAAGCGTCGTATCACAATTAACCTGCATTGGTTTGAGGAGAGGGAAGCCGGAGTGGATAAAATTGGGGGATGCACCATTGAGGGAGACTGGGGGTAGAAAATTTAGGGGTTATAAAGGGTGGGGATAGGGTTTATAACGTTTTATTGAAATCTATTTAAACAGTTAGATTAGCTTCTGTTAATGGTCGATATTATTTGTAATTATAATTGTCAATCATATATTCCATTCATTTTAACTTTCTTACTAAAAAGAAAAGAAATATGGGAATTTTGTGTCTCATAGAATTCTACGTAACGATATTGATATTACACAAAAAATTACTTGAAATCATACTTATCAAATTCCAAAAAGACTTTTGTTCTGAAGAATTCACAATGATCATATACCTAATTCATACATAATATCATGAAGAGTGGATACAAATTTTTGACTACTACTTAGCATCGGCAATATGTCTAAAAAAGTATCTGAAAATATGAATTTAGATATTCCCATGTTTAGGCTTCATTCCACTTATTTTCCCCAAGAAAATATGTCCCATATGAGTAAAATTTTCTTCAAGCAGTTGACAGCAAATTTGTATCGGTTTCAGATTCCACAAACCATCTGTGAACTCGTCTTTGAGCAAGGGATACCTGCAGCGGAGAGATATTTGAATGAGTAGTTGAAATGAAGGGTGATATAAATTAAATTTACTTTCGGTATCATTTCTAATTATTACTTCTCATCAAGGTATAAAATTCTCCAAACCAGAAAGTGAGAACAAATGAAGCCATGTCACCTGTTTATCCCAATCAGTTCTGTAAGTCAATATTACGAGTATGATAGTTTGAACGAGTGTGCCAAATAATATTCCAATCCAAACACCCTACGGAACACAACAATAGAGAAAATCAATGGATCATAATGTAAAATAAGAAATATTCATGCCAGCTTGTGTAAAAAAAAAACTATAGAATAAGCAAAATAATAAAATGTAAAAATGAGAGATAAAAACTCACTTCAACTTGTAGTTTGATAACATAACCAAGCACAACTCCTATAGGAATTCCTATTAAGTAATAAGATCCTATGTTAACATATGCCACAGTGCTCTGCTGTCCAGCCCCAATGGCAACACCTATTGTAGCAGAAGAAGATTTGAACTTAAATTCTTCTAATCACTGCTACTGAAAGTATTACTTCTTCTCGAGTAATAGATTGTTGCTTAAAATAATCCTGAAATAATATAAAGAACAGAACATAATCTTACCAGAAAGAACCGGTTGAACACTGTTCATGAGTATTGACAATGCCAGAAGAGGTGACAAATTAGCGACTGCCACAGCCACGTCTTGACTTTTCGTGAATATATAAGCTAGACGTCCCCGAAAGAACAAGAAAAATACAAAAAGAACTAGTCCAATGGCTAACGAAGTTAGAACTGTAACTATTATTGCAAACTTGGCAGATTTAGAGTCCCCTCTCCCAAGCTCATTTGAAACACGAACACTAAAATATAGGAAATGAAGATACGTAAAAAGTAGTAGGATCAATATAAAAATAAACGAGCTCAGACAGTTTAGTCATTTTTGAAGAAAATAAGAATAATTAGAAGTACCTTGCTGCAGCCAAGAAACCAAGAGCTATCATCATTTCCCAACCATTGATGTTAATGCTGTAAGAAAGTATACACTTTCATAGTTTGGAATGACGAAAGCTACGACGAGAAGGAAATTAAAGAGGGAAGAAGTGTTACCAGATAGAAAGAGCATCAATTGCAACCTCGGCGTTTTTCAGGTTTCCTGTCAACAGAATCAGGATTGTGGTGTACCAGAGTTCAAGGCTGTCAAAGAAAACAAAGGGTTATGACAAAAAAAATTCAGATCGATGGCTTAGAAAGGTTAAATATAAAGTCATTTCTTTGCTAAATTAATCTTTGATTTCTTTTAGCGAAGTATTGCAGGAAAGATAATACAAAAGGAAACTAGATTGAACAGATTATGAGTTTCAAACCTCGTCAACAGAATGAAACCAATGTACACTATGACATAACAATCTATCTTATCTTTATATTATATTTTTAGAACAACATTTAACCTTCAAGTATAGGAAATAAGTCTAACCAGAGCATTGCACCGGACGATAAAGAAAGCTTGATTACTGGCCAAAGATCTTTGAAAGCTAAAAACGAAAAACCTTTCCACGTTTCTGGACATCCTCCAGAGAATAAAAATATTAGCTGACCAACATTAGGAATCCAGTATGCCAAAATAGTGGATATCATGGCACCCGTAATCCCCATCTTGTACTTTACTGTTAAAAGCCAAGAGAGAAAGATGTGGATTGATAGTGAAAATGCCGCCAAGTATGTAATAATCATGTTCTTGCTCTGTGCTTGTAGATACATTTGGCAGCTAAATGATACAATATAGGAATATATCACTGGAACGAACCAGAGACCAATAGTTCCCGCCATTTCTGCAATGCCTTCGTCTTGGCCTAAAGCTTTTAAAATAGGGGATGCAAAAATAAAAATTGGTGAAAGTAGAGTTGTGGTTACTATCAAAACAAGCCATGATCGTTGAAGATATATCCCAAGCATGTGATACTGTTTTGCACCATATGCTTGTCCACATAGAGTTTCCAATCCACTGGCCATGCCCAACTGCACAATAGAAATGGAAAAAATTTCATCCTTATGTTTCTTGATAAAATGATAAGCAACACTTTAGGTAGATATACATTCTCCATTTCCTAGACTTGTCTTGTACGGTGAAGTTGATGATAAATATTTCTAGAAAATTCCATATATACTTGTGATGAAGCAAGTCTAGTGCTTCGAGATTTTCCCCCAGCCTATTATGGTGTTTGGCATTGAGGATTTGGAGTCTGAAGTGCATCAAACATGTGCATGTGTTTGGACCTCATTCTATCCTTTTCTTATTACACTCGAGCAAGATTACCGAAACTAGAAAGATAACCTGGATTTCGAATGCTAATAAATGCTTTGAGAATTGTATCCTGGGAGTCCATAAAAAAATTGTTGAGAATAAATAGAAAAAAGAACAATGACAGTAAAGGATAAATGCAAGAAGACGATAATTATAGGGACAAGAATTATCTGGTTTAGTAAGCCCTTGCAGAGAATTTTTCTATTGAGGAATCACACTCATACTTCTAGAGAACTCATAGATGTATGTATGTGTGTGTGTGTGTGTGTGTGTGTGTGTATCTGAATGTACAGCCACAAGGCTCAAAATAATAAAAATATATACGTTGCTTGCTGTAACCTAATTATGTACAAAAGACAGAAGTCCTAATAATTCTTGGGCTTGGGTTTGGTCAGACTTGATCTAGGCTCCACAAAAAAAGCCCAACAATTCTCCTACTTGGAGACTAACTCAGCCAATGCATCATCATCTGCCAAAAAAAAAAAAAAAAAATCTTCCACCTCTGCAATATACAACCCCTGCCTTCAAGTTAGAAGACTAACTGAAGTTTCGCATAACTTTAGTTTCTCAAGTGTAACACCATTTGTCAACATATCAACAGGGTTCTTGCTTCCACAAATCTTTTCAAGTATCAACTGAGCATCTTCAAGTAAGGATCTAATGAAATGATACCTGATCTGAATGTGCTTAATCCTGGAATGAAATGCTGGATTCTTGGCAAGGAATATGGTACTCTGACTGTCACTGTAAAGAGTACCTTTTTGTTTCCTTTTGCCCAGTTCCTCCAAGAAGTTTTGTAGACAGATCATCTCCTTTGAAGCTTCTGACACTGCAACATACTCAGCTTAGCTTCTGTAGTAGATAAAGATACTGTCTTCTGCAGGTTGGAACCCCATGACACGGCAGTACCATCCAAAGTGTAAACGAATCCAGTGGTACTCTTTCTGCTATCAGCATCTCCGATCAAATCAGTATCAAGAAAATCCCGTTGCTCAGACTTTCTCCAGTGAAACACATACACGCTTCTGTGAAGCCTTTTAGGTACCTTAAAATCCATTTCACTGCCTCTCAATGTTGTTACTCATGTATCTACTTACGACTCCCACTGCATGGGTGATATCTGGTCTGGTGCAAACCATAGCATACATTAGAGAATTGATAGCCGAAGCATAAGGAACCTTATCCATGTAGTCGTGTTCTTCCTTTATTTTAGGTGACTGATGTTTGCTGAGTCTGAAGTGACTTCCCAACGGTGCACCAACTGGTTTGGCCTGGTCTATGTTAAATCTACCAAGTACCTTTTTCACGTACTCAGCCTGTGAATGTCTCAACGTACCCTTGACTCTATCTCTGATGATCCTAATACCAAGAATTTATTTGGCAGCTCCCAAATCCTTCATTGCAAGCTGTTTTGACAACTATTCCTTCAGATTATTGATCTCCTCAATGCTGGACCCTGCAATGAGCATATCATCTACATATAGAAATAAAATGATATAAGAGTTGTCAAAATGCTTGACATAGCAACAGTGATCTTCCTGACATCTGATATACCCTGAACTACACATGAAGTTGTCAAATTTCTTGTACTATTGTCTAGGAGTTTGTTTCAAACCGTACAAGTTCTTTGTTAGTTTACAAATCAAACTCTCTTTACCTTGCACTATGAACCCTTCAGGCTGGTGCATGTAGATGTCTTCTTTTAGATCCCCATGAAGAAAAGCTGTTTTTACGTCTAATTGTTCAAGATACAAGTCTTCAGTAGCAACCATTGCCAATACTAGCCTGATGGTTGTGATTTTCACCACAGGAGAGAAAATCTCAGAGTAGTCAATGCCCAATTTCTGCTGAAAGCCTTTTACAACAAGCCTTACCTTATATCTCTTGCTACCATCGTGCTCAGTTTTTTTACGGTACACCCACTTGTTTTGCAAAGCCTTCTTTCCGGTGGAAGTTCTATCAACTCCCATGTCTGATTTCCTAGCAGGGAATCCATCTCATCCTTCATGGCCAACTCTCACTTGTTCGAATTCTCATCTTGCAAGGTTTCTTCATAACTTTTTGGTTCTCCATCATCTGTCAACATAATGTAATTCAATGTGGGTCAAAAATGCCTGGGGGTCGAATAGTCCTAGTAGACCTCCGAATTCTAGCTGCAAGGTTGGATGGTTCTGGATCAGACTGTGGAATGGATGTGTTGGGTCCACTCTCATTGTCACCCATGTCTCTACAATACACTGTAACCTCTGGAAGATCATCCAAATTCACGAACTCGGACTGTTGAGGAGATATATCAGCAACTGTGCTAGGTTTGTCTTTGTACATGACATTCTCATTGAACACCACGTTTCTGCTCCTAATAATCTTTCGCCTCTACTCATCCCAGAATCGATAACCAAATGACTCGTCTCAATAACCAATGAAATAGCATTTTATTGATTTTTCTTCAAGTTTGCTGCGAGCATTGGAATCAACAAGAACGTAAGAAACACAACCAAAGGTTTTTAGGTGGGAAAGCTTAACCTCTTTTTCGCTTTAAGCCTCCTCATGTAATCCGTACGCTAATGGGACCAATGGTCCACGATTGATTAAGTACACTACAGTGTTAACTGCATCTGCCCAGAATGTAGGTGGTAGCCCCGCGTACAGCTTCATACTCCTAGCACGCTCATTGATAGTTTTGTTCATGCACTCAGCGACTCCATTTTGTTGTGGTGTCCCAGGAATGGTCTTTTCCATTCTGCACAGTAATCCTTGAATTTTCCATCAATGTATTCTCCACCATTGTCAGACCTTAAGCATTTCAGCTTCAGGTTTGTCTCTTTCTCAACTAGGGCCTTCCACCTTTTGAACACATGAAATACATCAGATTTCAATTGTAGAAAATAGACCCACACCTTCCTGCTGTGATCATCAATGAATGTGACATAGTATCTGGAACCTCCAAGAGACACCACTGGGGAGGGTCCCCATATATCTATGTGTATAAGATCTAGCTTTCCTGATTTGAAGGCTTTGCCACTCTTCAAGAAACTGACCTTCTTCTGCTTTCCAAGTATATAGACTTTAGCTCTAGTAGCTTGCCTTTTGACAGAAGTTCCTTCATGCCTTTCTGACTCATATGGCCAAGCCTGCAGTGCCACAACTCTGCCGTGATCTCTACAGCATTAGTAGCAATGGTGTCATTAGAACTGTCAATCTTGTAAAGAGTACCAATTTTTTGGCCTCGAGCCAATACTAGTGCTCCTTTAGTAACCTTCCAGGTGCAATTTGAGAACATTACCGAGTGACCGGAGTCGTCGAGCTATCCTACAGAAATTAAATTTTTCTTTAACTCGGGGATGTGTCTAACATGTTGCAAGGTCCACATGTTCTTATTAAGAAGTGCAATGTCAATGTTTCCAGTTCCCACAACGTTCAGTGCTTTTCCATCAGCCAAATACACATTTCCAAAATCACCGGCAACATAGTTTCTCATGATCTCCCGAAGAGAAGAGGTGTGAAAGGATGCCCCTGAATCCAATATACAATCATCAACAGAGCTGTGAACTGCAAGTAGTAACGCGTTTTGTACTTCTTCAGTTACTATGTTCGCACTGTCAGCATCTGTCTTCTTCGATTTTTTACAGTTTTTCGTTATGTGGCCTGTTTTGCCACAGTTCCAGCAAGTTGTCTGTTGTCTAGGCCTTGATTTGCTCCTGCTCATGTTCCTTGACTTTGATGTTCTTCTATTTGAGTTCCTGTCATGTGACCTCCAACGAGCATCAACATTCAAAGCAGAATTTGATCCCAAGGTCTCCCCAGAGTCCCTCCTACTCTCATTCTTAGCCAAAATAAAATCACGAATATCGTCGTATTTTAATTTCGTCTTACCAGCAGAGTTACTGACAGCCATTCTCATGGCTTCCCAACTGTTTAGCAGTGATGCCAAAAATATCAGAGTCTGAATCTCATCATCAAATTCAATTTCAGCAGATGATAATTGATTAGTGATGGTATTAAACTCATTCAGATGTTGGGTGACAAACCCACCTTCTGCCTTCTTCAAGTTGAACAACTTTTTCATTAGATGAACCTTGTTATTAGGAGATGGTTTTCATACATACCTGACAAAGCCGTCATGAGATCTGTAGTGGTCTTCTCCTTGATAACATTGTGTGCAACTGATCTTGAAAGAGTCAGCCGAATGACTCCCAAGACCTATTAATCTAACAGGTTCCAATTAGCTCCCACCATGTTGTCCGGTTTCTTCCCCAATAGTGGAAGAAGTTTCTTGCCATAGAGGTAGTCCTCTATCTGCATTCTCCAGTATCCATAATCTGTGCCATCGAACTTCTCAATACCAAATACCTTCACTTGTTCTCTAGCCATCGTTTTTTTTCCTTTTCTTCTTCTTCTCACAGACCCGAACCCAGCTCTGATACCATATTGTTGAGAATAAATAGAAAAAAGAACAATGACAGTAAATGATAAATGCAAGAAGACGATAATTATATGCACAATAATTATTTGGTTCAGCAAGCCTTTGCAGAGAATATTTCTACTGAGGAATCACACGCACACTTCTAGAGAACTTACAGATGTGTGTGTGTGTGGGTGTACACACACACATCCACAAGGCCCAAAACAATAAAAATATATATGTTGTTTGCTGTAACCTAATTATGTGCAAAAGACAGAAGTCCTATTAATTCTTGGGCTTGGGCTTGGGCTTGGGCTTGGGCTTGGGCTTGATCTATGCTCCACAAAAAAGCCCAACAAAAATTTCACAAACAATTTTTTTAATTCAGAAACAACTGGGATTTATTTAGGATAAACTAATATCAAATTACTATCCTGGCTATGCACATTTCATATTTAGTTGGAAATACCAGCAACTACTAGCTTAAATTGTTTGAGCCATGTAATTTATTACCTTTATTACTACTATGCCATTGTGATTAGTATTTCCATGTCATTTGAACCTGCACATTCCCGTTTCGGAGCTTATCACATCAAAGATTGCAAGAAAGCTAGTTCTGAGGGACAATTCTCATCATTCAAGAATCCTTTGAGATGATTTTGTATCTCAAGTTTCAACAACATGCATTGGGTGAATACGATTAAATCCATGATGAATTAACAAAAACTAAAGACAATTAGATACCTTAAAGTTTTTCTACAACTCATTCACACTGGAACTTTAGACAAGCATTCCTTCCCTTAGAAAACACAGCCTACAATTTGAGGTTTTGAGCAAAAATAATTAATGAAAGAATCTCCAACCTCAAAATGACGATCGGCGAAGTTATTTTGTCGTAGTTAACTAAATTATGCTTATTAAGAGAAGATAATAAAGGGTATCCTGATTTGGGTTCATATACACGAATTCCATTACTAGATCTATTGAGAGATCTAAAGCAACTAGACCTTCAATAATTAACATATGTCAAAGTTAATTTTGATTCGTCTCTCATCGTGTTATCTTGCTCTACTAAAATCGTGTCACTCTTATGAGCCTAGATGTAGAATATGACCCAACCACCAAGTATCCTAAGCTTGTTTAGCCAGCAAGAATTCAAAACTAAAAACCACAATGAATAAGAACGTTTATGTGATGTAGTACCAGAATTCCAGTGGCAAATCTCAACAAAACAGTGAAAACCAGAGCATAGGCTGCAAGTTCGGTGGCACCGATATGGCCAACAAACGCCTGGCTAATAATATTGATTCCGAAGGATGAAAAACGGGTAAATATAGCTGGCCCAGCAACAATCCACATAGTTTTGGACTCATTCCATATTTTTTCCTTTAGCGTGATTCTCTCTTCCTCGTCCACATTTTCTCCACCTTTTACTTCGCTCAAAAGCTTTTCATTCATGTCTCCTTCAATTCTGAAATATACAGAAGAACAAAAAATAATTTTATGGTCGAAAATTTATCGAGAACTTAGTTTAGATTGTTGTATATAATCATAGAAATTCACAACTGGTGTAACTTTGAATACACATAGAGCACACATAAAAACGCATGCCATATTGGGTAGGAACGAATGAAGAACGCAGATTATTTATACTTACAAAGAATTGTGGAGGATCTAGATTTTTGGCTTCCCAGAAAATTATACAGAGAAGGGAGAAGAAGAAAGCTGAAGAGTTGAAAATTTATTATGAGCCGCAAATAATAAAATACATAGAGAAACACCTTCACTGTTACAAATTATCAGCAGCCTTCCGTAATACTCACCATCAACGAATACAATTACAAAATTAAAATACAATTTCAACCTATACTTGATTGATTTTATTAAAAACGATTTTCTATTAGAATATCTATATTGCACTTATTTTATTATGAACCTTTATATTCACACTGTCGTGTCTCATTTTCTTTCACTCTTACGCTAAAATACTCTCTCATTTTATCTCTTATAGAAATTTTATTGTGGCGCGGTTTTTAAATGTAAATTTCGGAGACATCCTTTTGTGAGTTAGAAATTCCCCTGTTTGGTTCCCATTTCGGGCGAATTGTAGAAATTTTTTGAACGTTGCTATAGTAAGATTCCTGACATTTTCTGTGCAACTTTCAGCCATGCAGTTGTACACGACCAGAATGCCCTTGTTGAATGATGTTCAACTGCTCACTTTCCCAATCCATAAGGGTGGTTTATTAAAAATAGGATAGCAGCCAAAGTCTCCAAACTTTCGTGCATATTTTCAAGAGAGAAAATGTAGGATAAATTTCAATTATATTTATTCAGTTGTCATGGTGTGCTTCATTGATACTTAGCCTCAATTTGGGTTCCATTAATTCAATAATACGTTTGTTTTCTTTTATTTTTAATCACACATTCTCCCATAATAATATTACACTTAAACTCAAACATTCTCCTTCTTTTTTAATCACACATTCTTCAAAAAGTTATTATTACAAAATAGATTTTCCCCAAAAACTACATTATAATGGAGCTTGAACAATGGCTTAACTTTAAAAGTTTATGTCTTTATTTAAAACATTGTACGTAACTTGGATAGTAAACGAATCATACTACGTAAAATTACAAAATATGTATATATTCATTAACTTCTTGACAAAGTCGAATGCATGCATATTACTCATTTCTCATTAGTTGAAATTATGAAAATTCATAAAGAATTGTTATAATAAATGGGAAAAAATGTAACAATTCTATCGTTCTTGTGTTGTACCATTGTTTTAAAAACCTACATTTCATTCTTGGGTTGGAACATGCTACAAGAACGTAATCATTTATATAATACATTACATATGGCGCGTATTCATCGGTAGTCTACAATTTTTGACTTTTCTACACTTCACATCCACGGTCGGATTTCTTCCACATGGACTTAATCCATTATGTACAATAATTATGTAAATATAGATTTATCCTTCTTGGGTTTCCCCTTACCTCTGGCAAAACTAATAATGGTTAATTCATCCACTTCTTCTAAAATTTACAAACAATATTAATCACGTTGTTGCTCATTCCTATTTAAATATTTCACTTTCTAGCACTGAGATACGTACACACAGAAAGATCTGCAACACATCATGTGCTCATAAAGCCCAATATATAAGTATTTTAATCAATATAACAGATAAGCACAGGGATCAAGAAACTCAAAAATACAAAAAAAATATAGCCACCAGATCCGATCTTCAAAATATTTAACATTATAATTTAAAAAAAGGGATTCCAACTTGTCAGTTGAGGATTTTCGATAATAATATTCCACAAAAAAATTGCCTCCATCAACTACCGCTTTCTCGTGCACGCTATCACCTACCCTGCCTTTTGTTTTCAACTTTAACATTTATATATAAATTTGATGAAATATATTATTAAAAGATTTGATAAAAAGATGTTCGTTCTATAAAATCTATAATTAAAATTTATTGTATTTATCTAGATTTTTATCAACTTTTTAATTAAGCAAAATACGGACTTAATATTTTAGATGTTACTTATGACTAAAGCAGACAAATTAACCTCAACAAATTATATATAGTTTCATGCTTTATCTAAGAGTGTATTAGATGTTACATCTTTTTAACTAGGGATGGCAACGGGACGGGACGATACGGGATGAGAGGGGGTGGGGCATTGCCCCGTTTACTACCCCGTTTAATTTTTTTTTCAAGTTTTTGATAATTTATTTTATTGCCCCATTCATCGGATTAAGATAGATAATTTTAGTTGCCATTTTTTATTAGAATTGATAAAAATTTTCATTTGAAATATTGAATTCTAAAAATAATAATAATAATAAAACGGGGCGGGGCGGGACACTCATTACCCATCCCCGCCCGGGGCAAAATTCTATGTCCGTGGGTATCGAATTTATCGAATATTTTATCATCTCTATTTTTAACCAACAAATAACACAAATTGGTTAAAAAGGTGACCAATTGGGAAATATGCATTCTAAATTTGCAAGAAAAGAAGTGAACTCAGTTGTAATCTTTTACATGTGGGGAGTGTGTTGTAAGAAGCTTGGAAGAATGTAGGATAAATTTCAATTATATTTATTCAGTTGTCATGGCGTGCTTCATTGATACTTAGCCTCAATTTGGGTTACATTAATTCAATAATACATTTTTTTTCTTTTATTTTCAATTACACATTCTCTCATAATAATATTACACGTAAACTCACACATTCTTCAAAAAAATATTATTACAAAATAGATTTTCCCCAAAAACTACATTATAATGGAGCTTAAACAAGGGCTTAACTTAAAAAGTTTATGGCCCTGTTTGGGAGGGATTTAGATTTTTCTACAGTAAATCAATTCTCATTTNTCTCAAATCAATTCTCATTTTCAACCACACATTCTTCAATAAAATAATATTTTCCATCACATCAATAATTTTTTCTTCTTTTTCAACCACACATTTCCCATCATATCACTATTCAAAATTAATTCTTCCCCCAAAAATCCCTCCCAAACAAGCTCTATATCTTTATTTAAAACATTGTACGTAACTTGGATAGTAAACGAATCATACTACGTAAAATTACAAAATATGTATATATTCATTAACTTCTTGACAAAGTCGAATGCATGCATATTACTCATTTCTCCTAAGTTGAAATTATGAAAATTCATAAAGAATTGTTATAATAAATGGGAAAAAAAATGTAACAATTCTATCGTTCTTGTGTTGTACCATTGTTTTAAAAACCTACATTTCATTCTTGGGTTGGAACATGCTAAAACTACATAATCATTTGGACCGTGCTACAAGTATATAATCATTTACATAATACATTACATAATTGACATGTGGCGCGCATCCATCGGTAATCTACAATTTTTTACTTTTCCACACTTCGCATCCACGGCCGGATTTCATCCACATGAGCCTATGTAATCCATTATGTACAATAATTATGTACATATAGATTTATCCTAATCATTTACATAATACATTACATAATTGACATGTGGTGCGCATTTATCGATAGTCTACAATTTTTGACTTTTCCACACTTCACATCCACGGTGGGATTTCTTCCACATGAACTCATGTAATCCATTATGTACAATAATTATGTACATATAAATTTATCCTTCTTGGGTTTCCCCTTACCTCTGGCAAAACTAATAATGGTTAATTCATCCACTTCTTCTAAAATTTACAAACAATATTAATCACGTTGTTGCTCATTCCTATTTAAACATTTCACTTTCTAGCACTGAGATACGTACACACAGAAAGATCTGCAACACATCATGTGCTCATAAAGCTCAATATATAAGTATTTTAATCAATATGACAGGTAAGCACAGGGATCAAGAAACTCAAAAATACAAAAAAAATATAGCCAACAGATCCGATCTTCAAAATATTTAACATTATAATTTAAAAAAAGGGATTCCAACTTGTCAGTTGAGGATTTTCGATAATAATATTCCACAAAAAAATTGCCTCCATCAACTACGGCTTTCTCGTGCACGCTATCACCTACCCTGCCTTCAGTTTTCAACTTTAACATTTATATATATGTTTGCATAAATAAATTAATAAACAGTATTTAAATTGCATATTCTTGTTTTGGTTCTAATTTTTATTTAAAATGGTTGGCTAACGACTACATTTATGCCATGTTCGGTCAACATTATTTTTTTTATNCACATTAATGTTTTCATTCTCATTTTTCTACTCATTCTCAACCACACATTTTTCAATAAAATAATATTTTCCATCACATCAATAATTTTTCCTTCTTTTTCAACCACATATTCCCCATCACATCAATAGTAAAAATGCATTTTTACCTTCAAAATGTGCACCAAACGGTGGCTTAATCTAATTTTTTGCACAAAAAAAAAATGGAAAATATAGAAATCTCTTAATGGTCTCAATTTGTTTAATTCCTCAAGTGAAAAATTTCATCTATTTTTCTTTAAGGATAAGAGTATTCTTACCTAGAAGATGTAAGTATCATAGTGTCACAACTCACTCTCAGTAGCTTTTCATGGTGCAACTGCATGTAATGGTACATGTACCTCTTCAAATAGAGTATATACTATAGAACAACATTATAGGTACAGGAAAAAATAACAGAAAATCAACAGAAATTACATTTGTAAAGTTTTCATCGGAAGGAAAAAAAAAAAAGGCAAACAGGGTGCCGCCACGTTAAAATTATGCAAAAAAATCATGTACCTGCATGTTCATTGTATCCTATATATAGCCTCTGCATGAAGGTTAAAGGACATAGAACTGCAAGTATAATTCATCAAATTGGAAAATCGTGTCTTTCTGAAACTAGCAGTTTGATGTCACCTGGACACATCAATGAAGCGATTTTGAACTAAGCCAAACTTTTCTAAAATGGTTTGACTTAGATTTCGAAATTTTAATGATGATTAGAAATCAAACCGGACAATTCAAAATATAGGTAGCCTAACAACAATATGGCAATGTTTCTCCCATTATTCCAAAACATTGTTGCTACGGTAAGATTTTCCACAACACGTTCACCTAATAAAATATTATACACACAAACTAATAAAGTTATTTTAAATTTTAACCACATATTCTCCAAAAAATACTATTCATTACTCAATTTCTTCTACAATAATAGAAGACAAACACATGCTATATAAGAAGAAGACGTAGGAGAAACCTAAAGCTTTGGCAACCACTTAATAAAACATTGAATGATATACTATTGCTTGATTTCAATCTTAAATGCAGCCTTCTTTTAAATTTATTATTGTTTATATAATTTAACAACACAAATAAATTCAAAACATTATCATTGAAAAGTTAATGCTCGAGTAATTCATAAATTGGGGGCTTAAGCAACACTTGCACAATGCTTGAATGGGTGCAGAATTTATTAAAATTATCCCTTTGTGTCCATTTAGAATAATGCTATCTAACACCATTCTAGGTGTAAGTACGTGATATGTCATAATAAATGAGTTATAAATTCTTGTATTTAATTGAACCTATAATGTAATGACATAAGTAATGTCACATAAACTGATATTAAACACCAGTAGTACTAAATAACATTACTCGTCCATTTATGAGTTTTTCCATTCCAACGGTTTCCAATGTCACTCTACAAGTTAAATCTTTGTAAAACAAAAATTAGTTTGCCTACGCGTGGTAGGATATAAAAAATTCGAAATAAATCTATGAAGTTATATGCGTTTAATATAAAGTTGGAGGTTTTAAAGGTGAGGTCATTTAACAGTAAACTAGTGATTTATTAGTTTCAAGTTTTTGCACAAGTGATTGACCTTGTGTTTATATGCTAATACATATGTTGTGTTATAAAGATTATAGATTAAGACTTGATGATAAACGCTAAAACACATTTTCAATCACGTTCTTTGAATTATTGCAATACTGAATTTTGTATTATATAAATGAAACTGGAAATTACAATATTATTACAACTTAAACTGAATCTTAAAAAACAGGTGGATGGAAGCAAATAATGCAGAAGTTTGCAGCAGAATATCCCAAAATACACATTACAATATTCATTATGGTGTGGCATCACTTTTTTGTTATATAATTGTGACAATTGCTAATTTTTAAGCTTGAAATCATCTAGGCATGATTTTCCAATCGGCTTTGAATAGAACTTGGCCAAATGCTCATTTACTGTAAAGTCTTTGTATATAGGGGGGTTTTCTTCAGTCGTCAACTCTTTGATTGGACCATAGACCTTCGCAGGATCCATGACACCGGCCAAGAAGCATGCCACTGAAATTCTTGGTCCGACCTGGTTGGATAGCACTCTATGCCAAGCACTTTTAAACACGTCATTTGAAACCATCTGAAACAGAAATCATGATCATTGGAATTAACTCAAATAAGTTTTAAAGACTATAACTTCAGCTTTAAGATGACGTCATTTAACATTTTACAAACACATCTGGCCTTTGACTAAAAAATTAATTTTGCATGGGATGTGTTGAAAACTAAATTTGAAAAAGTAAATGTATCTCTTCCTTAATAGCTTAAAGTT